CATATTATTGACAATATGACTGCAATCAGAATAATCAACAAGCTGAAGTAACGCAACCTACTATATGGTGCTGAAGCAATCTCCATCAAGCGGTTAAAAAAATATATGTGTACGCAAAAATGTGACAGTGGTAAGCGCCCCACCAGCTTGATGATTATACTTACAAAAGCGAATTATACAGACATTATTGTGTCATCAACTATTCTATACATTCTGTTCTGTTTGCAAAGTCCCATTATTCATTCCAATATCACTCCTATTGTAACAGCAAAACACAATAGTATTTGGTAGTAGAACTGTTATTGCACTGATCAAGGCACTCACCCTACTCGAACTCATGCAGCCATGTGAGGGCTTACGGCGAGTTGTCATCTGAATTGGTGACTACTAGTGGTGTCCATCAGGGATGCCCATTTCTATTCAATTTCATCATAGATGTACTGATGGAATTAACCGTAACTGACTTCAGTGACTCAGAGATTAGCTTGTTACAAGGGAATAATCTCGTTGACTTAGAATATGAAGATGATATAGTCCTTCTAAGCGAGGACGCTGACAAAATGCAGAGTCTTCTGAACACCTTGAGCTGCAATCTACGAATGTCTGGCATGCGATTCACTTCCGCCAAATGTGAGATGATGTTACAGGACTGGACTACACTGACTCCTAGTTTAGAAATAGGGAGTGAAGTGGTAGAGCACGTTGACCACTTCATTTATTTGTGAAGTACCATCAGCCTCAACGGGCTCATCTCTGACGAAATCTCAGCACGGATACAGGTGGCTAGTTTCGAATATGCCAGTTTACGCCATCTCTGGCGTAGATGTGATATCCAGCTATCGACCAAAGGGCGGGTGTACTGCTCATCAGTCCACACCGTCCTCCTTTATGGCTGTGAGTGACACATGGCCATTGAGAGTGGAAGACATGAAAAGATTAGCTGTCTTTGATCATAGGTGCCTGTGTTCTATTTCCTGTGTGAAGTGGTATAATGAGGTAAGCAATACTGAGGTTGGGCCTCGAGTGCTAGGTAAGGAGGGGAAATCAATCGACGAGGGAGTGAAATTACATAGACTGAGATGGTGAGGATATGTGTTACGTATGCCAAGTCATCGCCTTCCTCGACGAGCAATGTTAGCTGATATAGGGTCATTCAGGCTGGAAAAGAGCTAGCGGCGGTCAAACCAAAACATGGCTCGGCTAATCAATGAAATCCATAACAGTTAGTTTCCGCCAGTCACGTAGGTAGGTGTAGACTTCCAGGCTGGGGTCCTCGGGACAGTAAAACCAATGGTTGGAAACAAATGGTGATATGGCTCAAAATCGTTCTCAATGGCTAACGCAGATGCATTCACTCCCTGTGACTTATGATTTCCAATGAAGCTATATTGTTCTTCGTTACTACTATTCCTTTGTCTCACATCTCTGTTTACTGTCTCTATTATGCATTTCTTCTCTTTTTTTGTGTGTTACAAGGAGTGGAGTGTGGCGACTTGAACTGGTGCACATAGGTGCAAAGTTCTATGTCGAAAACAGACAGACAGACAGTAGGACTGTTTACTGGCAAATTGATGCACAGATTTCGTAAAGTATATGCATACCTTACCTTGAAATCTGCATCGTATTTAATTGTCTTCATTTCATATTTTCCATCTTGTTCCACAAGAAACATTCATTCCTCCTCTTCGCCATTTAATTAATCGCCCCACTATTAAATATTTTTGTCGAAGACACCACATACACAACATACTACTTCCACAATCTTGTTAGTAGCACATTTCATAACGTGTTAGGCTTTTTTGCTATTGTGTAAAATAGTTTTGTATTTAGTTACACAAGCTGTTATACTAACGTACTTGTTAGTTAGTTAAACTTTGTTTCTATACAAAACTTTGGACTTTGCCACTCGTCTTTAAGAACATTTACTTTATAAACAACCAATCTCTTTAACCTAATAATAATAATAATGATTTCAACTACTTGTGTTATTTATAATTCCTATTAATTAACTCTTTGCCGATGTGATAAAAGTATGCACACACCTTCTTAGTAATTTATATGTACACATACGTATATATCGATACTTTACTGCTCTTAAACTGCACTGACTTATCCATATTTAGTACTCAATTCAGAAATGACTTACACTAAGGTATGAAGGTGGAGAGGTCTATTTTGATTGGACACTAGTAACTAGTGTGACGTGTCTAGTCCTGTCTTTGGTGCAGACTGAATTCTATCAGTCAGGTTTTGCAATGTGGCCATCATTTTAGGTAGCTGCTCGCCATCACAGTGCACATTGATTTGATGATATTAGATGGTTGGAGGTAATCGGCAGGAAGCCTTGGTTACACCTAGGTTTCGTGCTAGTTGGCACTGATCAGCAAGGCGTATCTGCAACTTTGAAGGAACTCATGTCCCTTCTGAGATTCGTACCCGCATTCACCCAGTGCTGCAGTCAGAGACGTTACCACTGAGCTATTCGAGCTCACATGATAGGCCTTGCTGACGAGTGCCAACTAGCACGAAACGTAGGTCCAAGGCTTCCTCTGGCCGATTACCTCCAACCATCTAATATGTAGAGGTCTACTTAAATAAGAGAAACTACAGCACAATTCAAGTGACATTACAGTTTAACTCTGGATATGTATGTAGAATATCAACAGACACATGAAGGCTGTATACACAGATAAACTCTAGATAAACAGTGGTAGGATCACACTACTTCACTTGGATCACATATTGTGATCTGAATATATTTCTGGTTTTGTTAAGCAGACAGTGATCACTTGTCTTACCTTGAACTATGCAATTTGCAAATGATCAATTTGATTCTGATAGAGCAGCTTTCTTCTCAACTTCTAGAAACATTCCAAGAAGAAATATGAATTCAGTACGCCAACACCTCACAGTATTACAGCAACAAAACCATGTCCACTGTTTACTAGCGAATTGTGTGTGCATGTGTGTGAATGCAGAGAAGTCATGAATAAATACGATGATGAGTTGAAAACTATGAAAACGCAAATAAACTTAAAAGCATACTCTTAACACATTCATTCAATGACTTTCCTCAACAGTTTTTAAATAATAATAGAGATTTGTAGCTCAGGTGAATGATTTGCAATTAATAGTGTTCTCTGAGCTGGATGGTTTAGTTGTGGAGCTTTCGTCGTCCTCCTGGATAACATCGTCAGCGCAATATTTAGCATAAAGTGAAATGACTTGGATTTTTCATGAGTGATGTAATTGCGTCTCCCGGTAACCATCTTCATGACATATGTATTGACCATTTTCTATTGACTTGGATTTTAAACTTTCTGGTCACATGATTTAATTTTTATTAGTTGGTATATTTCGTCTATATTAACGTGTTTGTTAATTGCATTTTCATTTGAGTTCCAGGCTTCTAGGAATTCTCTGGCATTGCTCTTGGTGTTTTCTCTGCCTAAGATTTCGACATTATCCCAATCAAATTGATGTCCATAATTGTCTATATGCATTGATAGTAAAGAACATATATATCATGTCTTTTCACGGCTGATTTATGTTCCTGGATTCTGATTAGAAGGGGACGCCCACTCTGGCCGATGTAATGCCTGTTACAGTTCAGACAATTTATTTTCTAAATGGTGTTAATTTATCTCCTTTGTCTGTTGAATTTTTCAGTTTGCATAATATCGAATTAAGCGATTTGACTGGCATGTGTGCTGTATCTACATCAAACGGTTTTAACATTCTAACTGTTATTTCAGAGATATTTTTTAACTGTGGTAGAATGAATTCTCTTGTGGTCTTTGATGATGGTACCTTGTTGGTGTTGTGATTCAATTTTAAACACTTTTTGATGAAATTTTGTGGATAACCATTCTTTTGAAGACCGTTTGTAGGCAATTTTCTTTTATTCTTTTCAACTCTGGAGTGCTACAATGTATTTGAACTCTTTCAAACAATGTCTGCACACAGTTTCTCTTGTGGGTAACTGGTTTATTGCTAATATATTTGAGTATTTGATCTGTGTGAGTTAATTTTCTGTATACTTGTGTTTCTAAATTTCCTGAATTGGTTCTCCGGATTAAGACATCTAAAATCATTTCACTTTAGGCTAAATATTGCGCCGAAGATGTTTCCCAGAAAGTTGGACGACGAAAGCTCCGCAACTAAATCAACCAGCTCAGAGAACACTATTATTCGCAAAACTTTTTAAATAAGTTGTACGATATTTATATTCACCCGTAATCAAATATACAATCGAGCTTCTGTAACACATAACTGCGACTAATTTCTTTTTTGCATTATTATTGTTGTTCCATTGTGTTCCGAGTGGAAAATAGGGCTTCAGCATCACAATTTTTTTCCAACTGACTCCACAATTCCGCATAAGCCTTCAATTCCTGCCTACACAATCACCTCCATTTCACCTTGGGTCCATGCCACAACAACTTGTAGTTTTCCCCCACTAGGGTCCTCTTTTGGTATACTACACGCTGTAAGACGAACATTCTACCACTTTAAGTGGATCAACAGTCCCTTTATTATTCAGTACACAATTACACCACATAAAACAGTTAATAAATTTAAGAACTAAACCCAAGCCGCCGCCTCCTAATTAAATGATGTTACGCTGTTCCATATGAGGAACTAAGTGGATGCGGTCATTTCTATGCAAATGAAAACTTAAAAGATTATACAAGACTCGGTTGCCAAGACAGTAATCACCCGAACGACCATTGGTTTAATTACAATCTTCTTTATCAGAATATAATATGATAAATGATGATAAATTCAGACACTTCAAGAAATCATTGTTTGTACAAATCAAGTGAAAATAAGGGGAACCAATAAACTTTTCTCTAATTATGCTTTTTGTGATGAAAGAAAATAAATTATACACACTTATGAATAAATTAACGACACAAAAATTCACAGATTAAACACACATTTATACAATAATATTGATATTATTATTATTAGTAGTAGTAGTAGTAATAATAATCGTTTCAAGCATCTACTTTTCCTGAAGAAAAATTATACAATATCACAAGGAAGATTGCACAAATTACTATCGGAAATGCCAAAAATGTTCTCCCCACCTATAAAAGAGCTCCACGCAGTTGATTTCGAAAGACTAATGGCAGAATTGATAAGCCGGCTAGTATAAGTAGTGTTGAAAATGACGTCAACGAAGCTACACCCAAATCTGTAAGCTCTTGGAGTACTGTTCCAGCTTTAATGAACACCAAGGATAGGGGAACCACTCCTAAGGATAATTGAAAATAAAGAAAAACACTTGTAAAAGGAAACAAAAAGTAGTAAGTGTGTACTGAGGATAACTGTCATCTTACACAGCAGTTAAGATGATGGAATGATGTTGTACACCTCCATAAACGGCCGAGGTTAGGCAGACTTCACTAGTCCTCTTGAAATGCTCTCATGTGGAAACGTGTCTATAACCTTTGCCAAGTAAGTCCTATTCAGTGCATTTACGCCGCAGAGTTCCACACCGCTTACAACCGGATTGGTGGACAAGCTGGGGAGTTGGTAAACTCTGATTTCAAATTCACGGTTAACAAGGGCTCCAGAATCCTAACGCATTGAGTGGCGTGCTAACCTGTTTTGGTCACCGGCAACCATGACATCGCAGCTCCTGAAGCTTCTCCAGTGCCTTATGGATCAGACTTCAAATCAAAGGATTGGTGTAGAGTGGCTTCAAAAGACAACCACCTGCTTCGGTTTAGGCGTCCAGACAGCATCCTGACCCTCGTTTAAACTATGCAATTTTGTATAGCGTATTCACTTCGTGTTCAAAATGTTCCAAAACAAATAATGTTGCAAACCAATTAGAAGAGACATTATCAACATGGGAAATCTTTTTGATTATAGCTTGATTCCAAGCAGTATTTCTGGTACAAGTATGGAATTTTCAGCATGTGATATCGGTTGCCCAAATTTTGCAGGCCGATCAATCGATATCAGATGTGCGTCGGTAAGAGACCATTTGCATGGTCGACGAGTCCTAACCTCTGTGCCACCGACGCAGAGGATAAAAGTAGTTACAACATGTAAAGAGAAATAAAAGCTAAGGTAATCGTAACAGGTAAGTGCGTACGTAGATCAAACGATGATAGGTATATCATATTAACTGCTGGGCAACTTTATCAACATACATCGAAATACAAACTTGGTAAAACATGGATACCAAGAGATTAGTCACACAAAAAAATAAATATATTGCACAGATAGAATGACTGAAGAACAGCATTATGAAAACAAGCAAGTATACTTATCAAAAGCGTTCATCACTTCATGTTACTTTTAGAAATACGGGAAAGGAGAAACTTGCAGCATACTCACCATTGTTCACGATTTTCAGACATATCTGATAAGCTCTCCGGCCATTGTTTCGGATTACCCAAGGAGTTCTGATGCACTTATATACACTAACCTAGAACAGCTATCTCCCATTTCACAGTAATGCATCATGCACTAACCCTTGCTTCCCTTTCTCCAACGAGATCTGTAGCTAAAAAGCAGTGGACGGTATGGGAATCGCCGGGATAACATTCGTAGAACATGTCAAAGCTGCAAAAGCTTGTGTCCCAACATGACATTAATTACTGAAAGATGACCTCCACTATGTCTAAACACACGCCGCCGGACCTCAAAATTACTTACGTGATGCTACTGGATGCAAACAACTCTGAGAGGGCAAGGGTAATTGAACACAATCGGCATGCATACTCAGCTAGGAAGGCAGGTTTCACATTCATAAAGCAAAACCATAAGCACTGTTCCATTGTAAACCCGACCTTTGACCGCCAGATGAACGTAGACGGCTCCAGAGACATGTCACATTGGTGTATACTTCTCTGGTTTTCCCTACCTCATACATCATAGCTGTGCAAGCACTCACATTGCTATCAAGATACACGAATTTACCGACTACTTTCAACGGTTCCCCTTTATGAGTCAGTGCAGGTACGGGCTTCTGACAACCGTGCAACAATACTTTGCAAATCATTCCAAAGCTTTGCGCTACTAAGTGCGATTGGTAACAATCAACTAGTAAGGAAATTAACTTTTTCTATGCATTGTGGTATCCTGTTGAATTTTTTTATATAGTTCGTATTTTCCTTAATATCTACTTGAAACCAAAGTGTCCCGATGAAATGACTTATATTTCTGCACTCAGTGAAGGGCTTGAGTTACTGACTGAATATCTTGCCCTCGTTTAAATACTTCAATTATACTTCGGTGCAACACATCTGAAGTCTTTGTCATATGTACCGACAATCGCCATTTAGAGAACAAACAGTGAGCAGAACATTTATTCTGGTAACCTCCACATCTAGGTCTACAATTACATATATACAATATATAAAGAGTAATGATTTTTGTTGACATTGTTTTTTTAGTAATATCGAGTTGTTAAGACCGATATAATTACAGTTGGCGGATGACATTCAATTTGTTTATACGAGTTTGATCACGAATTGATATCAGTTAAAGAACCATTGAAAACCAGGGAGTACTGGACAGCTGTTTCATATATATATATATATAGTGTATACGAGACTGTAGGGTCAGACGAGGAAATTATCTGAAAGGATATGTTTTGCTCAGTCTTTTTGTCTTCCAAATGCTTGTTATTTGGTTGAATAAAAACGAAAGTAAATTCTAAAATCCATTTCCGTGCTTTTTGGAACTCACTTGACTATAAGAAAGAAGAAAGTACACACACGTTTCGACTCTGACCTAAATCTGGTAACACTGAAAGCCACTGAAGTTGGAACACATTAACAGACATTAAAACAACCCAACTATTATACCTGAAGTAGCCTACATGGTTAAAAGTCAAGTGCCCAAATGAGTTACATTATAGGACATTATCGAGAAATAAGATAAATGGAACCGTAGGTCGAATAACTGACTAACTGAATGACTGACTGACCAGTTTCAACATAGAACTTTGCACCGAAGTGCAGCAGTTCGAGTCGAATAGAAGTGTATAACTTCTATACCAGGTTGAATAACACGGGTGTGTGGTGAGAGAAGATAAATAAACGCAGAGCACACATACCAGTTCAAGATTTACACCAAAAATATACAAACATCATACCAGTTAGTATTCAACCGTAGTTGTAACTAATAAAATTCACATATTTTAATTCACTATATGGAAACTTCCCCTTTCGTGGTCAAAATTACGACCTAGTAACTTAATGAGTTAATTGTTGAAGTCCCAAAACATAGACTAATTTCCTGACTTTCTATTCCGAACCCTGGATAACCAGACAGTATCAAATGTCTCATCACACCAGAAGATGTAGCATATATAAGTTCCACTGGGAGTAGAAAAGAACCCCTAAACACTCACTAACAAAAACAATGACGTAAAAATTTTGTAGAGCACCCGAAAACAAAAACTTACCCACAAATGTGCCAAAGAAGAAGTGGACCAGTGGAATATCAATAATTGGTGAAGATACATTTACAAGCCAGTTAGGGATAAAAGGACATATCCTCAAACAGCATATGCATAGAAACATTGCATTTCGATACTTATGAATCTAAGCAAATCTCCAGTAATTTTAATACCAATATGATTACTTACAGTTTGGCGACATATCTCAATTTTCTCAGGAAATAAGTGTGTTATAACTTTAGAACCAATAAATCCAACAAGAAGGTAACACAGCGATGCACCAACGGCTGAACACTGAAAACGATTTAGTTAGTTACTTACAGCATGACGACTTACCAATGCTACAATGATGAGAGCTACATGAAAAGGAAATAAATAACCCAACAGAACAACGCACAAGACGGAGCCCGGTATCATAAATGATTGTAGACTGAAATTTAGTTAAGGTTTAGCTCCTGAATTAGTTTAAGTAAATCAACGCATTCTATGCCAGTCATAAGGATATTCAGAATGTCGTAATACAAACTTTGTCGCAATCGCCTAACTAATATCTGTGAGTATACATCATGTATATGACGTTATTAGAGGAAGAATATTGGTCTTTGTTGTGATAATGAAACATGGTATAAATATGTAGATGATACACCTATCGTTACTAAGAAAGGAAATCTTCTGAAAATTACGAACACTAACTCAAACTACATATAATTAAAAGATGCAATAAACTTAAGTGGAAAGGATTAACTCTTCTAGTTATGTCATCAAAAAAACTTTATGAAGCCAAAAAAATTGGAATAAATATTCGGATATTATTAATAAAAGTTGTAGGAAGCAAAGGAACAAATAAACAATGAAATGAAACCACAGGTTTCGACGATAACAATTTTATCCTGTTAGCACACTTCAAAACAAATCCTGAAAGTATTTGCTACATGCGATACTAAAAACCCTCAAACTCTAGCCATGGATTCATCCAAAGTGAGCGATGTGGTGTCTAAGATGACACAAAAAACAACTGTGCTAACCGGGTAATGGTTAATGTGACTGGCTCTCTTTACAGCTAAACGATGCACGGGGTAAATGATTAAAAAGAACGCATAATGAAAGATTCAACTCATGTTTTACAAAACTCTGCAACAAATGCAAGAAACAAAGGAGGAAGGACATAGTTGACACCAAAATATAGAGTGACTACGCCAAAATCAGCAAAAGCCTGCATTAATAACACATCATCTGTCACATCCCCTAGTTACCTTTTACAGCAAATTAATTATATTTGGCCGAATAACTGAAAAATGTATGCCTAAATTACGAAACAACAAGCAATTAAGTTAATTACTGACAGAAAAGCGAAATAGAGCTGGAATTAGATGCGTAACGACTAAATTGGAGAAAAAACAAGCGGAAGGATGAAGTCTGGAAGAATGTGAACAAGGAAAATACCATCACAGCACATCATTTACAAAGTCTAAAAAACAGTGCATTTCGGAAACTCAATATGAAATCCAAAAGAAACTTACATTGAGTACCACACTATTAAATTCAATGAGGTAATGAGGTAACCTTAACAGTCTAATACTGTGTCAATTTAGCACTATATATTATAATAGTATACGTAGGCAAACTTAGAGTACACAACAGGCACTTTGAACCATGCTTTGAAAGCCTTGCAGACACTGCGGCATCTTCACATGCACATGCATACAACAAAGAAGTGCGCCCAAAGGCAGACTAAGCTTTTTTGCCTAGTGTCTGTCGTGTGATAAAAGTTTTTGTCACTCGGATTTGTCCAACCAGTTTTACAAAGTTCATGAACATGTGCACACGGCGAGTCAACGTACGACTCTCCACAGCAAAAAGGATACAATATAAAGACTGTAGATATCAAAATCAATATCTGCCAGTAGTAATTATCTTGGTATTCTGATAGGACAAGACCAATGTTTTTTAGATCGTTCACATTTTGAGGGAATTTCACATGCTCCCAGTGTTCCCTTGCACATAATTTAAAATATAATTTATACTTACTCCGGTAGTGATGGTAGGCGACGTGTGATGAAGACTAGCAATGACAGGAAGCCAGCGAAGGACAAACTGACGGCAAAAACTGACCTAATCTGCCCACTACTACTGGAGGACTTTGCCTTCATCCCGCCTTTCCGACAAACCTTGCGAGAGAATACCAAGCTGAACTACTAAAACAAGTGAACCAGATGATTTGAGAATCAAAAGCAACTAATGCATATAGTTGCCGCATCTTAAGTGTTCACTGAGTCGGTCACTTATTTGACATATTTGCAGTCAATTATGCTTGAAGATTAACGGACGTCTGCATGTAAGCAGATAATGCATTTTAGCACTTCCTTGTTCCTAGAAGTGCTCTAGGACACTGCTTTTCACCCCTTGGCTAGCCTATAAGAATAACAGAATTTCGAGCAACGTATTTTGTGGTGCAACGAAACACCACTAAAATACTTGAAGTTGAAACATTAATATACTAACACTAGAGCAGCAGAATATTATCCCATGATGGCTTCTGCTTTGCTCAAGATACCATAGGTTTACGAGCACGCAAGTGTGCTACTGTGTCTCGCCAATATGCTGGACTTAAAGTATCAAGGGCACTGAGTTTGTCCATTGAATGTGTGAGAGTAAGTGGAAACAGATTAGGCACAGATTAAGAAGATATTTAGGCGATATCACGAACCAAGTCCGAAAGTGACATTCAGTATATCGCGTGAGAAGGGAGTAAACTCACAGGGTCAGTCATAGAGACAGATGAAGGAGAGTGCGAAGAACAGAGTTCAATGAGAATACTCGGAACGGAAAGGGCAAGTAATAATATGATAACTATGTTAGTTATTGAGAAGACTCTAAACAAAGCTTGATCGCTGACTAGGTGCCCTTCTTGGGTGCAAGACAACAAGTAAGATGTTTGTTCGGTCGCTGAAACCACAATAGACGTAACTTGTCTTAACACCAGGAACATTTTTTCCAAATCCCGTATTTTTAGTTTTCTTAAGTCCTCTTCTGATCCCTCCCCTAAGTTTTACGCAACTGTTCTTAAGGTGAATCTGTTTAAGTTGAGCTCCAATCTATCCCATCAGTCACATTAAGTTATGCAACTTATCTAGTTAATAGACGAATGTAAAATGTTACGTAACATGGTGTGAAATTTGATAACATAGAAAAGAACAAGACACATTTAATTGAAAATCAACTGACTGATGTCTTAAAGAATATGAGGAATAAGTCAGCAATATCGTCAGAAATATACGAACGCATCAGACTAGTAGGCTCCATTATACCACGTTTGTATGGACTACCAAAAATACATAAGACAGGATTACCGCTCCGTCCAATCCTCGATATGGTGGGCTCTCCTTATCACGGAATCGCTCAATGGCTAGCCGAAATATTGGAACCAGTCAGAAGGCAAGTATCTAAGTTTTCCATTGATGATACGTTTAAATTTATTGATAGTATTAAAGAATTTAATGTCTCAGAAAAAGTACTGTTCTCATTAGATGTCACGTCGCTATTTACCAATGTCCCTCTCATGGGAACTGTCAACTATTTATGTGAGTATATTGATACACATGGTTTGGAAATAGGTTTACCGAAAATCCACCTCAAAGAGCTTTTATTGAGATGTACGTTAAATGTTCAGTTCACCTTCAATAATGAGATCTATAGACAGAGAGATGGCATTGCCATGGGATCACCACTGGGTCCTTTGTTAGCTGATTGTTTTATGGCAAAGCTGGAAAATTCTCAACTTAGTCAAACCATCGGGCATTTTGACATTTATAAAAGATACGTAGACGACACTTTCGTCATCTGCGATAGGAACGTAGTCCTTGATGATGTCTTGTTCGCCTTCAACAACTGCCATCCTTCTTTACAATTCACCATAGAAAAGGAATCGGAACTAAGTATTCCGTTTCTTGATGTGTGCCTTAGCAGACGGAATGACGGATCTCTCAAGAGATCGATCCACCGGAAACGTACATGGAACGGACAACTAACTAATTTTTACAGTTGGGTGCCTATTTCCAGGAAAAGGAATTTAATCCATTCACTCTGCTTTAGGATAAGGAAAATTTGTAGTTCTGATTGCGTCGACTCAGAACTTGACTTCCTGAAAGCCACACTCGCAGAAAACGGTTACCCTAACCGATTTATTGACAGCAACATGAAAGATAAGCAGTCCAAACTGGTCACTGACTCAGTTCCAAAGAAAACCCTATTCGTGAACTTGGAATTCAAAGGAGATCAAGCTTCTGATATGCTCAAAAATCGTCTTTCTAAATCAGTTAGTAAAACGTTCCCTGCAGCTAGATTACATATGACGTTCACGAGCCGCAAACTGTTCTCTACCTCTGTAAAAGATAAGCTCCCCCGTCTGACCGCCTCCATGTGCATCTACCAGTTCACCTGCTCTTGTGGAGCAAGGTACATTGGCCGTAGTCAGAGAATGCTCTCCACACGGATACGAGAACATATTCCAGCTTGGTTTTACAAGGGAGAAAGGAAATGTGTGCGAAGCTCTATCTTAGAACACCTCATCGACTCCTGTCACTCGGTCAACCCCAACCATGATTTCAAGGTCATATATAGAATTCATGCCAACTTCCCGCGTTTTCTTCGTTACAGACTTCTAAAGACAGCTGAGGCCTTGGCGATTCATGACTTTAAGCCAGACCTTTGTGTACAAAAGAAGTATGTCCAATCCCTACTGCTGCCTTGGCCGTAGAGGGATAGACATTTATTTATTTTATTATTCTATGTACTTTTCCCTTATTACTTCGATTATTATTATTATTATTATTATCATTATTATTATCATTATTACGACTCTCATTCTGAATCTTTTCCACTTGATCTACTTGACATTTTAAACCAAAAATTATTCATGTGTATACTTTTTATCTTTATTTTTACAATATTAAATTCTATGTTATCAAATTTCACACCATGTTACGTAACATTTTACATTCGTCTATTAATCTTACAATTATATGCCTCTCCCCATTATCTAGTTAAGTCATGATTTCTGCCCGATAGGCACTTTGTGTATCATGTATTGCTGTCTTCAACTTACAATTTTAATGAAACATTTTGTAAAATTGCTTTTATTCCAAGGAGATTACTATATATGTATGCGACTGTATGGCTTCAATATGACATCAGTGAAATGGGTAACTCTTCTCTGAAATCCCATGCTGTCAATGGAGTTGAAGATTGAACGATCAATTCATTGTTGTTTGCTTAAAATCAACTTCCCCAATTTTCGCGGAGGCATCAATACGACAGTCATCGTCTCATCGGTCGCTGTTCAGAAAGAAGAGTGAAACATCGTCAGAAGTAATACAATGAATTATTATTGTAATATTTGTTTTCAGACCTTAGTTCGCTTATTCTTTTTATATGTTGGTGTAACAATAAAGAAATATCAAACGGCAGATCGGTGTTTTGGTTTTTCGTCCGTTATAACTAAGCGTTTCTGAAATCTTCAAGGAACAGCGTGGGCCCGAGCGTAGCGAGAGCTGGGCATTAACGGTTTATGAGACGTGATTGACAGTTTCTGACGATAGAAACAGATCTGGCGGATTCAAACAGTTGGTGAAAGTTTGGATAGTCGCCGTTCATTTTTCCTGGTGCCGGTCAAGTCCTCTTTGAACAAGCAATATCTGGAACGTTTTTGGAATTGGGTCAAGTTCAACAATGCCTGGGTCAAAGAAGGGACAGAGTGTCTTGGATGCAAACAGGAAAGTAAGTCATGGTGACTTGTCTGTTAATTGTAACGATGTGTCTGATGTTAAGCATGACATGGTTGATGTTACTGTTTCGCCGTTCAGGGATAATAGGAACATCAAACTCCCTAAATTTGAACCACGGTGTTTTGATGGAAACCCAGCTGATTATTTACAATTTGTAAAGGAGTTTGAGATCATGTTGAGTGGTTTTTTATTAAATGATGAATTGAAGTTAATGTATTTGATGAGATATTGCACTGGAGATGCTGCAAGAGCTATACAGTGCTGTAAGTTTATGAAGCCAAAAGAGGGCTACTACGAGGCTATGAGCATATTACGTCAAAGGTTTGGAAGACCTTCGATGATTGCAGGGAAATTATTCGAGGCTGTTAAGGGTAATGGTGGTCAATTACAGGATGACTCCCAGGCACTCACTGAGTTTTTAGATAATTTGCTAATTTACAAGAATGGAATGATTTCGATGAATCGCATGAGTGACCTCAACTCGAGTTTTATACTAGAAGTAATAGCAAGACGTTTACCTACTCGACTGCAAAGGAAGTGGGTGAAGATAAGCTCCCGTATGGAGGATGAGGGTATCGAGCCAAAGTTTGATGATATCCTGAAACTGGTAAATACTAGTGTCAATCAATCTATGAGCAAGTTCGCCAGTCTATTACATCTCACCCTAGAATAGAGCAGTCTGAGAGGAAAATGCAATCATTGATGACGAATAGGCCTCAGAGAGGTGGATATCGAGAAGGCTCCATGATGTCTAGTAATGCATATAGACTTAGTGAGTGCAACAGGTTTCGTAGTACATCCTCAACAGATAAGTTACAAGATGCAAGACAAACACGGTTGTGTTTCACACGTTTGCAAGAAGTGCGTACAAAGGTGAACTGTGAACCAGTGAGCAAGTTCAGTGATAAGCTAAATGTAAACTCCAGGCATGACTCCGAATTGTGTGACGATAACGGTGCGGTGAAGAAGTCTGTAGTTGCAACTGGTAAGCCATTGTTGAATAGAGTGTCACAAAATAGAGTTGCTGCTTCAGAGTGCAGTTCTGACCCTACAAGTTTACAAGTATAACTAGTCAGAGTGAAGTTATAAAACCTTTTAGGATTTGCGAGGAGGAACCAAAATTGTCTACTTCTGTTATTAAAGAGTTTGAAAATGATAAAGTTGACGGTAAAGTGAATATTCGTGATAATGATCATGATACTTCACAGTTGTCTTTGGTTGATCATGATGAGATGAGGGATATGCCTACTACTGCTAAGTTGAACAAAGGTTCTGTACAACTTGAACGTGAAGTAGAAATAAATGCAGGTGCAGTTGCAGAAGGCACGCATACTTGTGAGACCGTCAGTGTAATTGATCAGCATGTA